TTTCATATTACTTATCTGTACTAATTTCACTTATTTTTAACATCTACTTCATTTTTAGAATAATTATAAAATTCGTATTCAAAATTCTCAACAAAATTTCAAAAACATAAAAACTTATCTTAATATCCTTCCCTATGAATAATTTAAATAGCTTAAAATTCGTTACTTAATTTGCTCACACATAATTATGAAAAATTAGAAAAATCAATGAACAAGAATTTCAGATTTTCCCAAACAAATTGCAGAAATTTTAACCACAGTTGAAATGAAAACTATAGAATCCGCAGCACATTAAATAATTTAGTTCCTGAGCTAGATTCACACGAATAGAATAATTTTTGAGCTGTTGAAAAAGCGGAAGTGCAAATAATTTTCTGTCGCACATACTTGCAAACACTTTCTCGGATCGACCTTGAACCCGCTGTAATGCTTAATTCCTAAACTGATGATTTAAAGCACTTTTTTTCTAAATATTGTAGAGATCGGCGAAGCAAATTCAATATTCCTTTTTACTATCATTCGAACTTCTCAATTTATCGAGATATTACTTTCAATCTGTAAACACTACGCGTGATTATTTTTTTGAAGCACTTGCAAAACACCACAGCAGAAGAATGATCTGTTATTTTTTAAACACTGAAAAAAAACAAATTTGATGATTCACTTCTTTCACATTATCTTGGATTTATCACAAAACGATGATTTGAAGAGCTGAATTAAATTTTCCATTGAGGTTTCAGGCTGCAGGAAACTATCCTTACTGGCTTAATTGTCATAATAAAAGCAAAGGAAAAACGGAACACTGTAGATGCGTAGTTATCCTATATTGAAGAGGAAGTAATCTGATTGCGTCGTAAGCTAATGTGTTGACTTCGTAAATAAAACTTGGCAGTAGAAGCGATTTTAATTCCATTTTTATTTCCAATTGATATTTGTGGCCACAATCACTTGGCACTCTAGTCGTGCCTTCCACAGAAGATTTACATTTTTGATATTGTTGGGATAGAAAGCAAGCCAGCGAAATCACATCTTAGCACAGTAGCGAGCAAAAGCTGAAGTGCGTAGTTATGAAAGATGGAGGCACGCGAAGAGAAAAGTTTTGGTTTACAAGGACAGTTTCTGTTCCCAATGATTACGTCATCAGAGCTGCGCGGGCCATAGAGTGATCTAGAAATGATGCAATGCAAAGAAGTTATTACGATTTTAGAATAGAGAGGAAGAATTAATGTTTATAGTTTAATCTATAATTTTGATTCATATATTTTTATCTTACATATATATGTATATGTATATATAATTATTTCCTAAACAATATTGATTAATTGATTATATTATCTCCTAAGTTTAATTAAAGTAAAATTAAAGTAGAATTATTTTAAAAGAGTGAATCCATACTGGTAAGTTATATTTTGAAAGATGTATATATATATATATATATATACAGTACAAAGTCCGAGATCCGGACATCCAATATCTGGACCTCAAAGCCACCACCAAACAATTTTTTAGGGCTTTTTTGAAGGGAAGGGGTATGCTTTACACAAGTGCATTAGATTTTTTTCCTCATCACAAAAAAACATGTCGGAAATCCCGATTCTTAATTTCAGTTTGGCGCTAAATAAAATATCTCATTATTGAAGAAATAATTATTTTAGCATAAATTTGTGTGATGATTAGTAACTTGACTCCATAGCTGCGTATCTGCTTGGCATAATCTCAAACCGAAACATTTGTTAATTTTACACCAACTAATATTTTATATCCTTGATGCCGAAATCGCGAATCATTATTTATTGTATTTTGCTTTCATCACCGCATGTTTATCAACGGAATGACAACTTGAGTGATGAATCATGCAGCGATGCCAAATAACAGAGTATTATCCGATTACAGATTTAAATTTAATGCGCTAAAATGTTGACAAGGGGAGATTTAGCAGAAATTTCTTTCCTTATGCTAAAAATAGATTTTGTTAATGATACTCATAGGACAAACGATTATATTTAGTGCTATTTGAATTAAGAATAACTGATTTGTTATTCACATAAAGCCAGAACCAGCTCCAGAGCTCGCATGGCCGCACCAGGCGGCAGAATTTAGCGAAGTTAAACAGAAGTTTTTCATTGCGAATGACAATGCCCAATCATCAATCAATTAACGGAGGGCGGAAATCTGTAGTATGGTTCTAAATCCAGAAAATACAGCGATAGTGAAGAAAGTAACAGAGAGGTTACTGAACGAGAAAAAATTTTGATTGACAAGTTATTCGGAATTCTCGACACAGCAATTACAGGACTTGAACAATGGAACTTAATAACTGAACAAGAAATTATATGTCTATAGTATTAGTCTAAAGTATTAGCAGAGAAAACAAATCAAACAACTCACATTGAAAGAAATGTTTAATTAAAGTAAACATATAAATATTAAGCTCTTTTCTTTTGGTAAATTTTGATACCCTTTAAATCATAAATGCTTCATTATTTCATAAATCACGATTTCATATTTTCAATTTTATAATTTCTACGTGCCATCTTAGTAGATTTAAAATGATCTAATATCCGGAAAAATCTCAAATCTGGGATCGCCGAAGTCCCGACGAGTCCAGACCTCGGACTTTGTACACTGTATAAATATATATATATATATATATACGGAATGTATATTTTCAGTTAAACTTCTACCCAATAACTTTAGTAATTCATGAAAGTTAATTTTGCGTCTAGTTAATTCAGGAAAAATTAGTTTCAATTAGTTGTTTTCAGCTTTAAAAAATATTAAAAAAATTTTAATTAGTTATTTTCAACTAATAATTGTATCGCCATTAGCAAAAATTATGCATTACTATCAAAAACATAGGTTTAAACCAAATACTTAATTGTCTATTGAAGCTTCAAAACGTATTTCCGAACTTCACTTTTTCTCAGGCTAGCGTTACCGAATTTGCCCTTGGCGACCTAAAATCGAAATGGAGCCAACAGATTTCCGCGAAATCGATAACAGACCCTCTGCAGAAATAAACTCATAATCCCGATATCCCATACATATAGTATGTGCAAAAGAGAATAAACTCCGTAGAAGGTGATAAAAAATTAATTTATGGCTTAATTGAAACAAACACAGAAATTAAGCTAAGCAAAACCGTGTAAAAACAAATTGAAATGATAAAACGAAACTTAATTTTAATGTGAATTTTCAGCGCTGACTCTCCCATTCTAGAAATTTCAATTTGTTTCAGACAAAGACCACATTTAAGGATTGCCATCCATCAATATCCAGTCTTTGTAGTCAGCTTGATGAAGCCACAGTTTATTGAAAATGCACTTTCCATGCATCTCGTTCCTATTGGCATCGGAAGGGTTGTGGGGTTCCAGGTTGGGATTGCTCTAATTTTGGCAAATATTTTCAGAATCTCCCCCCCCCTTTTTTTTCTTTTTCTCAAGCACCTTCATCATCACTTTCGCCTCTTAAAGAACTTCCGGTTTCACGCTTTCGTCACAATCTGCCTAAATTTATGGATAACACCTGTTTCGAAAGATTGGGTGAATAGCCAATCAGACACCGATACTTTCGTTCGGGTAGCTAATTGTTTTTTTTAATCGTTTGCAATGCAAATCCGCCAACAGATTAGTTAAGAGCTGTGTAATTTTAATTCCATATTCATGAGAAATCGTAATTCACACTTAGAATGGCAATCATTAGAAATGATAAGAAATGTCAAATGAGCAAAATTAAGGACCGTTTATTCATTTTAGCCAAAATTAAGGACTTTTAAGGACCAAAAATCATTTTTGAAAAAATTAAGGACTTTTAAGGACCGTACGAACCCTGTTGTATTTCAGAGAAATGTTTGAAACAAAATATTCCGAGAAATTTTTTTCTTCTATAGTTCGTTTCAAATTAATTCTTGGAACTTAACCAGTTCACCGTTTGCCCCGAGAGAGATACGTTCACAGGAAAGGCATCGTCATCCGTTAGCGTTGGCACTTTCGTCGGGTTGAAATTTGGGCTGAACCGTAACCCTCGAGACACATACGACACAGCAACCTTTTTCCATTTCCTACAGAATGAGTTGGAAATCAAAAGGGGTGATTGATGGGTTACATATCTTCTCAGCAGTGTCGCATTAGGATCACAGCGAGTGCCTAATTACAAATATTTTAACATACATAATTTTATATTTACATTTAGCCATCAAGTTTCAAACTTTTCAAATCTTCTAGAAAATAAATTTTGGCAGATCTCTTTTAGCAATTTTCTTAAAATCTATATTTTTGTAGTGCAACAGCTTAGAATTTTATAAAACAAATTCATAATCAAAATCGCTGTTGTTAGTTATCGAAAAATAACCAAGATGTGATTTTTTGCGTAAATGTCAGTAAACTATACAAATTGCTATTATCCATCCCACTATGAATGTTTCTTTCATGCGAAAGTGTCCCTTTTTCGATTTCTATGGAACTGTCGTGTGTCGAAATACTATCAGAATCTTGTCAAGCGAGCTTCTGAATGTAAACAAAGAACAACCCCGTCTGGTGACCCAAGCTTCAAAGCAGTGCTTCACTTCTAGCGCGGAATGGCCCCTCCTCCCTTTCCTACCTCCATGAGAATGAGTCGAAAATCAAAAGGGGTGATTAATGGGTTACTTATCTTCTCAGCGGTGTTGCATTAGGATCACAGCGGGGCTGTTTCAGGATAGTAAAGGATGGGGACACTTTCTTCGAATAGCTACCCCCTCAACATATCTTATGAGATCCACAACAGCTTTCTCCCTTTCTATTAACGAACAAAGGGATTTGAATGCTTAACGATTCAATTCTTCTCTTTTGTTACAGGCCAACAAGAATATATAAATATACTTTTTTTTTTTTTTTTTTGCCCTTCTCCGAAAATAAGCCCTAGTGCATATTTTGGACCAAAAAAGAAAGTAAGACGGTGTCTTATTTTCGGAAAAAGATGGTATTAAGGAATTCGAAATATTTTATAATGAAATTACTTACAAACAATGACAGATCAATTTGTGCCGTTCCCAATCTTGCTCTTGGCAAGTTGCTGAGCAGTATGGTTTTTTGCACACTGAACATGATAGTTTACCTACAAAATAAACATAAAATTTGTAAACTCAGAAAACAAAGTAATAAAAATGCCGTTCATAATACAAGTTTGCATATACAGTATATCTAAACTGCAATGTCAAAACTTAAAGCAGTTATTTTAAAACAATTTTAAACATTATTACTAGTTAAAAGAAACTGAGAAACAAACTAAATGAACCCAACTTAAAAAGGTTGGATTCTATTAGTTTAAACAACTTAAACATCTGCCAACTTAGGAAAAGCAACCAGTGTACAAAAATTTATTTCATATGTGAAGGTGAAGATGTTTTTTGCATGTACATATGAACAAATAAGAACTCTGTCTTTCATATTCTAATACAAACTTAAATTAGAATATCTAATATTTATGATACAATGAGCTGTTTACTTTTTTAGAAAATGAAAAAAAAAAAAAAAAAAAAAAAAAAAAGAGATTCCTTGGCAAAAGTTATAGCTTCCAAGGCTAGGCATCTTCCAATCTCACATGCAATAGTAAATTAATACTTTTTTGCACCAATATAGCACGATATATTTTCAGCTAAAAATGTACTTTCTTCCCAACTTTTCTTTAATGAAAATAATACAGTCTTAGAAATTTAACAGTTATTTATTATCAGCGAATTTATAAAATCATATAAAAGGGTATTTTTTAAGCATTATATTCAATATGAAAGGGCATGAAAATCAGCATATGCAGTCTTTATATATATACAGCAGTCTTTCCTAATTAAGAAAAAGTTCTCATATAATGTAATTAAAAAATTAGCACACTCAAATGTAAATTAAAATACTCAAAATTGTATAATATTATAATGTATAATTTTAGTAATGTATTGGGGAATTGGAAGCCGAGTACACAAGGTAAAGCACAATTCTGTATTTTAAATGATAATTTGCTTGCTATACAGTTGACATTGCCATACTAATTCAAACATTATTCTCTAGCAATACAAATCAACTGATAAGTGTTAGTTGAAAGCACAATTTATCTCATATTTGCTGCACATCTGTATTTATGTTTCATTTCATAGAAGGAATGTGTAAGACTAACATCAGACAATCATCGTACAATAAACATTTTCTTTGGATGACTTAGGTGATCTGGTCACATGGAAAAGATGCCAGGACTAAGTCTGATCCTGTGTATAGTGAATCTTAAGCAAAGTGACAGCAGATTTCTGTAGCTAGCATTGGCAATATAGTAGCATTACATTTTCTTTGAATGCAAAAAGGCTTAGAGAGTCCTTCCTGGAAGTGCCTTTCCTCCAAACCATTGCAAAGAACATCCTTGAAACTTTTCATCTATAGCCACAATTCAGAGCAGGAACTTTTCTTCTTTGTTATTACTTAAGACAGAAAAGCACTTTCAAATGCTGTGCTTTGCTTTCATTAGGGAATTCATGAGGCACCCATGTAAGGCCTTACTTTTCCTATTCACGTGAACACTTGAAAAGTGTACATTTAATGCCTAGATTATTTCTTATACAGTTTATCATAGATCTGATAGAATTATATTTTTTAATTCATCATTCATAATTTCTCCCAAGTGAAATTTTGCAAACTAGTGAGTGGATTATTATGAATTTTTCCTCCACTGAAAGTTTTATTGATGTTTTTATTGCAGTCACTACAGAATTTCCCAGTTTTAACTCATAAAGGCATAGTAATATTAATTGTTTGGGTACTATGATGTAGATGTCAGTAATATTCGATGCTTAATGCTGTTTGAAAGAAATGAAAACTACATATGCATGGCCCATGTGTTATGTCACACCATAAAAAAACTGTATAACTACATGTATATGTAGGCAGAATTATTATATTTTAGGAAAGACTGTCCAGGACCATGAAAGCCTAATTATAGCCTCTAATATCATTCTTACTTTAAAGCTTTTTTTTTTCGGGGGGGGGGGGGGGCTGATGATCTAATTTTAATTTATTTTCTAGTGTAGATGATCCTTTTATACATATGTTGCTTTTAAAATTGCTATTAGATTTAGTTTTCGACATTTATATTAGATGTGAATACATTGATTTCTGTGTTCCAATACTCTGAATTTAAACTGATATATTTCTGAACAGATAATTTACCTTTCTTAGATAGACAGAAAAAATAACTTTTTCTTGATTAAATCACAGTACGAAATGAAAACTATTTCAGTTTTGAAAGAAAGAAATGTAAAGAAAGAAAGTTAAGTAATGAAAACTATTTTATTTTTAATTTTTCTTGATTAAATCACATTATGAAATGAAAACTATTTCAGTTTTCCATAGCTTCCAAAGTACAACTTAAGTAACACTAACTTTGTTTAAAAGAAATAAAGGATACTCACCAACACTATTACAATACAAACACAAAAGAAATGGATTTTGAATTAATGCTGGTCGATGAGAAATATAATCAACGGGTTTATTTGAATTAAAATCATTTTGCTGCCTTTTCCCTTCAGATGATTGTTTGCTTTCCTGATGGTACTTCACAATTGAAGATATAGAAGCAGGATTCTGCATTTTCTGTGTAATGGAATTTGGACTTTTCTGAGATACAGGTAAAGGAGTAGAACTACTTTTATTCTCTGTATTGAAACCTTGTCTTTTCACAGGTGCAAGTACAGGAACACTGTTATTCATTTTCTCACATCTGAAATCTGGACTTTGAATAGATGCAGATGAAACATTCTCTTTATACATTTTCTCTGGACTTGAGTCTGGATCTTTTAGAAAAGAGACTCTTCTGTCCCCATCAACAAAGATTTTCAATCCCTGCCAATGAAAAAAAAAATATATTAACTACAAACCAACCAATCCATGCTAAAACTTCTCATGGGGGGGAACCTGTTAATAAATAAAATTGATAGGGAAAAAATAACATTAATAAACTAAAAACTTTAACAAATTCATCTCACAGTTAACATATCATCAACTAGTGAGTATGAAATATATTCAAACAAATTCTTTTTTTTTTCTATTGTAAAAATAACACAATCATATCAAAATTCCTTTAATTTTGTTAAGGCTTTCAAACTGTATTACTTTCTAAAATATAGTTTTATTATTTCAGAAATTCTAACTATTATTCTAGAGGAATATAAGCATAAAATAACAAAATTAAGATGCGAAATAGCAAATTCAACAATGAATACTATGTGTTCCAGGGTTCGTACATATTTACGCACATGGTAATTAAGTACTTATAAGGACTATTAATGAAAAAAAATTAAGGACCCATCAACAAATGGGAACTGAATAAATTCAATTAAAGATATTAGCTGTGCCTGAGCTTCACTTTTGTAATACCACCTTAAGAATAAAATAGATTGACAAGTAGAATGCATTACTAAAAACATTTTTGAGAATAAAAATCAACTTTATAAAATTTATTAAGTAGCATTAAATATTTTACATCTATAATAGTTGGGCATATTTGAAAGAAGATTAGTGACATTTTATTTATGTTTTACTAACACTTAGCTTTGACTTTTTCTTTTATGTCTCATTTTGTCACGTACTTTCTCAGTTTAGAGTTTAAGAGGTAATAGTAATAGCAGGTAGATTTTATGTCAAATTGCATAGGTTAAAATGAGAAGTAAAATCATAATCAGCATGATTCGTAACAGATGACTGGCTGTTGCCACCGCTGCTGCTTGCTTAGAAAGCCTGCTGATCAGAAACCAGAAAGCCTGATGTAGGCACAGTTGGCAAGTTTTGAAAGTTAGTTGTGCTCTGTCTGTCTGACGCAGTTAACGTCATAGCTTCCTATACAGTTCCGCCATTGTTGGAGATCACCGCTGCCACATGCCTCGGCATTGATTCAAAGAGACTTTGGATGTGTTCTTGGGGTGCAGCAGATCAAGCAACTTCCACACGTTGCCAAAGTTGATTTGGTGTGGAGCTTGGGATGTAATCTGGGTCAATTGTTCAGCAACCCTGGACCACATGTTTTCTATCGGCGAAAGATCCGGAAAGCAAGCCAGCCAGAGAAGTAAATCAACCTGGCGACTGACAAAAGAACCCTTGGACAACGCGTGCCATGTGTGGTCGTGCATTATCCTGTTGAAATATGGCTGTGGGCAAGCCCTGAAGGTAAGGAAGGACAACTGGCTCCAACACCTCGGAGATGTAGAGCTGGCTGTTTAAAGTACCGGCAATGCATACATGAGGAGTGCGAGAGTGATATCCAATACTGCCCCATACCATAATACCCAATGCAGGACCAGTGTGGTGGTGCATAACACAGCTGTTCAGCATCCTCTCTCCACGGTGTCTCCAGACTTGAATCCGACCATCGTGGTGTTGCAGACAGAAGCGTGACTCATCAGTAAAGTCAATTTCATTCCATTCTGCCGTCCACATCCTTCTTTCATCGCACCATTGGTGGCGGAGATGTCTGTGGTTCTGCGTCAAAGGTAGATAGATGAAGCAATGGACGTTCTTGCAGACAGATCACTCTGCTGTAAACGGTGCGAATGGTACACGCAGACACGGATGACGCGTTACAGACTGAATGTGCTGTGCTATGGTTCATGATGTGACTGAGCGATCCGTCAATGCCATGCGTATAATGTTCCTGTCATCTCGTTAAGTGGTGCACTGAGGTGGATGTGATCAAATACGTCGGTCCGTCGTACCCTCCTGCATCCAGCGGTCACATATCCACATTACAGTTGTTTGGTTTCGTCCAACATGACTACCGATTTCCCTGAAAGATAATCCAATCTCGGTAGGCCACTATCCTTCCTCTGTCGAACTTGGATACTTGATTAAACAATGATCGCTGTTTACTACAAGGCATAACTAATTATTTTTTTGAAAAAAACCACAAGAAAAACACAATTGCCAAACTTGAAATCGTTGAAAACTCTAAGCATTAAATAGCATTTTGAAGTGGTGCCACAGGCATGCACTGAAATTCTAATCATTTGCATATCTCACCTCCACTAATGCGTGTTGTAAATTTCATGTTATTTACATGCTTCCTTCAGGGTGTTGCATTTAAGGTGGCTAGCTGTGTATATGAGATATTATAACGAACGAAAAGTGCCACAAAATAATTGGATGCTAAAACTACATTATTACATTTATTTATGGAAAGTGAAAATGTATGCATTAACCCTCAGGCTGCTCATCCCATGATTTCCATGGGCAACTCAAACGTAGCAAAAGCTGCTCATCCTGCAATTTCTGTGGGCATGTGTTTTTCTTCCTTTATTACGGAGCACATCCGTTTTTTGCCTGTTTAATGCCTGAAATAAATTATACAGTACAAAGTCTTTAATCCGGATGTCCATAATTCGGAATTATCTATAATCTGGACCTCAAAGCTACAAAGTTCCTGTGCATGCGCATAATATATTTATGCATGAGTGTTTAATGTATAACGAACGGTATAAGCTAGGCTAAAATTATCTATTTCAGTTAATGTTGCAAATTGCGTTGTTCCTTAATCTTCTAATTGGATCCGGCTTATTATTTTTTGCAGACTGTTAGAGCAATTTTATAAAAAATAAGCTTGAACTTTCGATTATGTCAACAAGAGTTTCCGATTCTGGAGCTGCCAAAGGATCTACAAAGCAAAAGCATGTTTCGATGTCCATCAAACAAAAAGTGGAATTGCTGCCAAAAATGGATAAAGGCATGAAGAAAGTGATAGAGAGGTTAGTGAAAACGAAAAAATTTCGATTGACAAGTTAATCGGTATTCTCGGCACAGCAATTACAGGACCTGAACAGCAGAACTTTGTAACTGAACAAGAAATTATGTCTGTTTATAGAATTAAAGAGAAAGTATTAGCACATAAAACGAAGCAACTTAAACAACTTACATTAAAAGAAATGTTTAAAAAAGTAAACAAATAAATATTAAGCTTTTTTTTTTTTTTGTAAATTTTGATACCCTTTAGATCATAATTGCTCTTTATTTCATAAACTACGTTTCATATTTTTTATTTTTTAATTTCTGCATGCCATCTTACCAGATTTAAATTGATGATCTATAATCTGGAAAAATCCTAATCTGGAATCGCCGAAGTCCCGACAAGTCCGGATTAAAGACTTTGTACCGTATACAGTATTAGACGTTTAGTTTACATTTTGGCCAACAGATATCGTTAGTTGTCCACTAAATTGCGGCATTTGAAGGCACGTGGTATTACCGCTAAAACTCCCCTTTTTGCGCTTTTTTCTTACAGAAATGGCTGCTAGAAAACATTCTGGGATTATCTTGATTATTTAATTCAATTATTGAATTACTAATTATATTTATTGATTAGATTGATTATTAATTAGATTTATTGAATCTGATGCAAAGACTGTGAAGTTGGACTTTGCCTTGAATCTTGTTTTGAACTCTATCACACTAAACTGCATTTCTAAGGTATTTTTTCCTCAGTGCTTTATATTTTCTTAAATTTTATACATTTTACTTTTTTATATCATGGTTTTTCTGTCAACTTAGTTTCTCATGATAAAAATCTATATAAAAAAATATTTTCTAGAAAGGAAAAATGCCTTTTTCATTTTTCCAATATATATAAATTTAAAAAATAATAATAAAAAATAATAATAAATTGCACAATTTTTGAAGCGATTTTGGTCCACAAATTGAGCAGTCAGAGGGTTAAATGTTTTATTACTGGTATTGAACATGAAACCAAGCCAAATTTTGCAGAAACTGAGATTAGTTGTGACTATGGAGCTGTCTGAAAATTTAATCAAAATAATAATGGCTTGAGAAGCTACCTGGTTGAATAAAAAATATATTATTAGTCATCTGTGGCGGACAAAATTAGAGATATGAATCAAAAACCAGAAATATTTAGTGCTAATGCATCTTCCGTTTCCATAAATGATTTACTGCAAAAAACTGTCTCTCTTGAACAAAAGATCAATCAAATAACCATTCAGTCAAGAAAAGGGGTTCAGATCCATGTAATTACTGTTCATAATCTCAAAGATGATCTTGTAAACGGTAAATTGTGTTTTCATCACTTTTGATACGGAGCTAAATACATTCCAAAGAAATGCCAACCCCTGTGTGCTTGAGTTAACAACCGTTCCCAAAATCAGGAAATCTCAAACATGCAGTATGTTTACTGGCAAACTCTTCTGCAGAAAATATGAAGGATTGTTGCTAATTTTGTTTATTTGTTCACAACCAAAGATCAAATTTGCACTTTCTTATTGATAGTATAGCTGATGTATGCATAATTCCAGCTACTTGTCAGAAAATATGTAAAACTGAACACAGATAAAAATTAATTGATGGTGTAACATAACTTCATGTCCAGGGTGATATCACTGCTATTTCAAGCGATAATTACATAGCCATTAAATATATCTATAAAAAAATACAGTAAATATATCCATAAGAATTTTTAATTTGTTGTTGAAATATCCTGAAATTTCTAAACCTAAGCTTTTCCCCAAGCAAATTAAATTACACATTTTATGACTGATCAAACCATTTATTTAAAAGCATGAGAACTCAATCCAAAATGCTTAGCGATAGCTAAAGAGGAATTTAAATTTATAATGGAATAATTCTTCCATCAAGCCCCTTGCATCTTGTTACGAAAAGGGATTGCTCATATCAGCCTTACAGAGACTTACCGTCGACTTAATATGCAGACGTTACCTGATTAGTATCCTATTCCTCAGACTGAAGATTTTCATCATTGTTTAAAAGGCACAAAATTTTCTCTAAAACTGATTTATTTAAAGCTTATTTTTAAATTCCCATTGCAGAAGATGACAAATGTAAAACAA